TTTCCCTCTCATTTTCCTTAAATGAGGGCATTTCTGCTATGGGGTTTTATGAGAGTGCACATCACTCGGGGGTTGTATAAAGAAAGAGCTGCTATCAGCAGCCTGCCACAATGCAATTAAACCTATGATCGAAACAAACAATAAATAAAGAGAAAGACATAGAGGTTTTAAATATAGGTTTCCATTAAAAGCATTACAAAGACGACTTCTTTCATTTTGAAGACAAAGAAAAAATCCACTTCTACTAAAAGAAAAAAAAAAGAAAAAAAAAATTTAAAAATCACCCCTTTGCAAGTAACTTTAATGAGGAAAGGTGCAGGGAAGGGAGGGAGAGAGGACTTGGAGAACTAGCAAGTGTTCAAAAGGGTGGATGCCCTCCATCTCGGTCATTTTGCAATGGCACCTTCTTCTCACACAGTCAGGTCAGAGAGCCAGAGTCCTCACGTGGAGGATTTCACCACCTGCTCGTAAGGGGGAGGTGGTGTGTTGCAGTAGGAAGGTGGGGGTGGGTAAACCGGGTTTCCTTGTGGGGAATTGGGCTGGACGTGGAAAGCCATAGCCATGGGATTCATCACAGGTCCACCTGGATCTGTGTAATACGGCACTCCAGGTTGTTGCGACCCTGAAAAAAGAAAAGGAGACAAAAGGTATCAACAACAGCAAAAGCATCTGGCAGCAGTCGTGCTCTTCCAGGGCTTCTGCTCTGTATGCTCGGACAAGTTTGCTCAAAGTGTTCATCAGAGCAAGGACAAGGTGCCACCTTTCTCCCATTCCAGAGAAAACCCAGGCTGGCAGGACTACATTCACTTCTTGAGATTTCACCAAAATGTTTCAATTTCACATGCAATGGAAATCATTTAGCGAAACAAAGGGCACCGCTGCCCAAACAGCGAGCCCTGCCCAGTTCCCCAGACAGAAAAGCTGCCGTGCCTGCAGAGAGGAGAGGCGTGGGATCCCAGATGGACAAAGGGGTCTCCACTGCAGCCCTGACTCAGGTATCAAGTCTTACAAGAGGACTTCACAGGTTATTTTGTAATGTACTGGATCTGCTTGTATGCCAGAGTGCATCTCAAATAGATAATTTCCCTTCAAGGCACAATACGGCTAAGGAGTAAACACGTATGAAACAAAAACCCAAGTTGAAGCCAATTATGGCTGGCTAGCACAATGGGACAAGATTGCTTTGCACAGATTAAATTTAGGAAATGATGTTGGAGCCTGCAGGGACAAGGAAAGGAAACGTACGCTCAAACACAAAATTCCTTAGCCGTGACACATGAGGAGTAACAGAGACTGCTGCCATGAGAAACAACAAAGGTGGCGTGTATCCCTCCGCAGATATCACAGCGGGTGGTAGAAGACGACTTAATGCAATTCCAGCAATTAAAGTCACAGGTTGTCTCTATCTCAAGATGTAAATTAGTTTTCTTCTCTTTCTCTCTGTCTATTTAAATAAAGTTGGACTGAAAAAAAATAAAAAATCATGGCTGACCAACATGTTTTCTTCCTTTGGTGCTAGTCTGTTTTTCCTATAATGACACAGCTTCTAAGGGATCTTCCACTCAGTCCTTCCTTTCTGTGACTTAGTGACACTAGGACTCGGTATTGCCACTGAAGGAATACAGGCTTCTTGGAGCTTTAAGCATCCTTTAGTACTTCAAGCATTCAGGAAGGAGCTACATACCGAACCCAAAAACGTGTCCTTACAATATTAAATCAGATGGGTCAAGCCATAAGGCACAGGGATGCAAACTGTCCCAGAGCCTGGCGTGTCTGCCTAGGGAGCTTTGTTTGGACACTTGGGAGCAAAGAGGATGGAAGGCAGATCGGGAACACAGCTATTTCCTTTTTAACAACACAATAATTTGTAACACACCGCCACAATATTTTTTCCTTTTGCCTGTCTGAGCGAAGAGGGGCTGCTCTGCAGCCTCTCTTCCTTTGCCGTAGCGACGAGAACCCCTTGTTCTGCTTCCATGTGTACCATCAGCACACAGCTGAGGGACAGCCAGGCTGGGAACAGGAGCTGAGTCCTAGCTCTCCGAAATTTGGGCTAATACCCTCTTCTGTAACCTTTTTCTTAAGCATTTTGGTTTGAAAGTTAAATCCTGCCCAGCTCTGCATTTCTGAAGTTTCCATCCGCATGGGGAAATGAGAGAGGTTGAGATAGCTTACGGCAGCTTGCTCCTTAGGAAAACAACTCTTTTCATTAAAACTTCCGAGTATTATTATTGAATTTCGTGGGGGGGGGGCAAGTGTGGACACCAGTCTTTTGAGATATTTTTTCAGTTCATTAAACCCAGCAGAAAACATCATCTGAATATCAGCTTCCTTGTGGGATGAGCTCAGTAAGTATTTGTTAAGTGTCTACAAAGGGACCCAACCTTTTCTAGCACCTGAACTGCCAGTCTGGGGCTATGTAGGCCAGACCTAAAGTGGAAGACACCACCAGGTCTGCAAATTGCTGTTTGCAGGTGAGGTGTTGAATCCATTTTCCCAGTCAGGCCCACAGAAAAAGCACTCCCACCTCCAGGCTGCTGCTGGGATGGCAGAAGATGCCACCGTTATCACTGCAAGGAAAGAGGGAGATGGGCAAGGAGCCACGTTTCAGGGGCTCCACCTCAACTGTGAACTGGCTACTGCTACCAAATCTGGAAGAGGAGCTAGAGGAAAATGTGAACTTGGTTGATGAGTTGCTTTTGCTGTTGAATATTCCTAGAATAGTAGAAAAAAAACGTGGTGGGGTTAGCTCAGAGCCCAAAGCTTTAAGAAACAGTAATAAAAGTCTGGAAGCAGGTGGCATAAGCAGGTCACCAAAGGGTTTGTGCTTATTTTATATTTGCGTTCCATGAAAAACTTAAACCATGCTCTAAAATTAAATCCAGTATTCGCCAATCCAGCCAAAAATGCTCCCTGTTCACATAATCTTGAGGTTATTTTTCAGGCTTAAAAATATAGTTTAGTTAGTTTGGCTCCCTCCCCACTGTTGAAAAATAAATACTCTCTGTGGAAATGTTTGTTCAGTCAAGCAGAAAAAAAGATGCAGAATGGAAGCCCTAAAAATCCCTGTAGGATTTGAAAAAAAAAGAAAGGGTGAATAAAATGTTAGTTTGTGTCTGTAACATCTTTTTATCCATTTAGACCTGTGAGAGAGAGGGGGCAAATGCATGTCTATGGGTTCGTGCTTAAGGATACAAGAAAGAGCATTTCCAAAGCCTGCACAAGGCACGCAGGTGTGCAATAGCAGGCATGACAGGGGAGAGAGCCCGAATACTGCATCTCTGCACAACGCTCGTAGTCACAGCTAGCTAGACAGGGGTTTAGGACACTTTTCTAATGAGGCTGTCTTGATGCAGTCACAGTACTGCACAGAGATGTAGTGGTTCAGAAAACGATTTTTGATAGGGAGGTTTGAGGCGCCAAATTTTCAGAGAGATCCCCCTTCTCATTACGAAGTATTTAGTTGTATTTCCACTTCCAAGCCAGTATGAAACAAAAACAAATTGCCAATTCCAAAAATGGTTAAAAACGTCTCAGTTTGGTCTTGCTGAGGCAGGGAGAAGGCAAGCACCTGAGTGTGCACTCAGATATAATCTCAGCACTGCAGAAGTCTTCCAACTGGAGACAGCTGGATTTAAAATGCTTCCATAAGGCACAAACATCATCTGCTTACAGGTGAGTCTTATTTTGTAGGATTCTCCCAACTGGGACTATCTAACAGCCAGAGGGGAAGAAATAAGAAACTTAGAAAGCAGTATTGCCAGAGGAGCCATCACTAGGTAGATCCTCCTGATGCTCACAGCTATTACTGACCAGAGAGAGAGCAATCAGACTAACAAGGGGAGAAGGACCACTTGGCTGCAGAAAAACTGTAGCACAGAGCATGGAAGGCAAATCAAAAAGAGACAACTTGCAAGATAGCCAGACTGCAGAAGAAAAATGTTAGGCTTTCCTTCACCTCTGCCAGATGTTATCAACTGTATTTAAAACTCTTTCTTCATGTCACTGTTCCTTTCGGATATCCATCATTTTGTCTATGCTGCAAAGTGAGAACTTGCTAGCCTCCTTCCATGCATGGACACACAGCTGTAAAGATATTAGGAACCACAACAGAAGGGAACTGAAAGTCCTGTCATCCTGGGTTTCAAAATCACTTCTGTACACTGCAGGTGAATTATGCTATTTGAAAGGCAGAAGACTTCACTCACCACAGGAGGTGGCTGCATGGTTTAGCGTGGCGCAATCCCTTGCCCAAATCCCACAGTTTCCAAAAACCAAACAAACAAAACCCCCAACCCCACCCTTTTAAAATGCCTTGGCAAATATAAGAAATTAGTGAAACTCGTTTAATGAGCAGTCTCTGACCTGATGCAGCATTGACTGGTTGTCTGGTGTAAGACACGTTAAAAGTAGGTTCTTCTACTAGTGGAGGAGGGTACATCCGCCTTCGGATAAAGAAACCAGCTCCGCAACAGAACAAAACTCCCATCATCAAAAGGAACCTAGGTGAAGAGAAGAGGGAAGTCAAAACCCACCCGCATTCAGGCAGCTCTCAAACCCAGCCTGTCCACTGAGAGAAACAAGAGTGTCATCTAGCAATCATCAGCCTGTGACTTTTATCGGAATTTCTTAAATAGGCTGTCTCTTGAGAGCAGGTCTGTGTCATTTGAGACAGCACTCATGGGGCACTTATGGATATATTACGGACATCTTGAGTGATTAGTACTATTCTCCGATCTTTTCCGGCATGTAAAATACAAGTCTGAAACTAAAACACCGTTGAACTTTTGGAAAGTTCAGGTTCATACCCGACCTTTGCCACCGGGATGCTGAACTGAAATTCCAGGTCAGTACAGTTTCAAACTGCGAATCTTGGACCCAAGCCTCACGCTTACAGCATCGAGGCTGGCCAGGAGGTTTGTGTGGGACAAAGCAGTATACCATTCTGCAGTTGCCCTTAAAAGAAGATTCTTAGATGTTCTTAAATTACCCAACACTATAATTTTGTCTCCCATGGGAAATATGGTAGCTGGCATTTAAGCTCAAGCCAGAAGACTGAAGCATTCAGCACTGAAGAGGACAAGGTTTGCTTTGTGCTTCCTAGATGGGATATACATTCTCAAGGAAAAGAACGTTATTTTGCTTCAGTTCTTCTCCTCTTGGCTCCTTTTCCAACCTGACTAAACTGTCCTCATCACTCCCTCGCCCTGGTGCTGTGGAAACAGGCACATGCAGTGAGGGCACATCAGAAGATTTTGTTCTTCAGACAGTGGCTTTCACTGTGTTTCCCTGATTAGTTATCAAACATGGTAGTGACTGATGCAAGCTCCCGTAAAACCAAATGGTTCTTCTGCCTGTAATTGCCACTTCACTTCAGGGCGCTTTACTGGAAGACAATGACGACTGTGCTCTTTTGGAAAGGATGGAAGTTGGCCAGAGGCCAGCTTACACACCATGCTTATCTCCTCTGGAACATTCCCAGGTGCCTGAGAGGAAAAGTGTGACGCTGCATGGCAGTGAGAGGTATTTCATGCAAATGGTCAAATTCTGTACTTGTTTCTACAGTGGAAACGAGAGCAGAAGGTGGTCCTGTTTCCCCGAGCCAATATTAATACATTCCCTTTTGGCAGCGTTCCTGCAAAGGATTTGTTCTGAACAGAAAAACAGAGATTTACGACGTCACCCCAGGGATTGAGGTGCAGAGCTCTTCAGTTATATCAGAAAGGATTGCACACTGAAATCCCACAGTCAGCTTCGGGAAATCTCAGTATTATAGTATATATCAGGCTTCTGTTTTTCGGTGTTTATTCGTTTCAATTTTGAAGGCCGTTTTTTTTTAAACAGTCTTCAAATTCTACATTAAAACACCTGAAATCAGGTTTTCTAGGAGAGCTTTTGCTCTACTGTAATGAGAAAGTTTTATTCAGGTGCTTTCTTAAATTCCTCTCCAAAACGAATTTACCTTATTTTTTCATTATGCATATAACAGTGATTAGTTTAAGCTTTATCCAGATTACTGAGCTGCTGGTTTCACAAGCTCAAATCTTTCTGCCTTCTTTTCCCTTGGTGTCGTCTCCAGTGAAATCCTCATAGTCATAAATGTACTTCTCTTCCTTTTTAATTGAAGCCTCAATTCGGCTGGCAAGAATGTCTTAACCCCTGCCTAAATGCACAATCCTCCTTATACAATCCTCTTTTAAAACTGAGTGCCCACGAAAAACCGATATACGCTGCTGCTTGGTAGCAGTTGGGACAGGCATAAGGAATTCAGCAATTTTGGATAGAAGTGGGACCGCTGCCTGTACAGACCAGCAGGATGCAGAAGCAGGAAAGGTCAACCTGACACAAGGAACCTCCTTTTCCAGTGTTTTCTCACTACCTCAGGAGAATTTTATAAACAAAAACCCAAAGTCCTTGCATTTATATGTAAACATATACATTACTGCATACTTGTACCTACTTTACCTTAAAATACTAGGGCTGGCAATACCCTGATTTAAGTCCTACAAACAAGACAAGAACAGGACAAACATAAAATTCCCAAGTGCCCTGACCTACCAAAAATACCATAGTCGCTGGATAGAGAGAGCTCTTACACAGCATCTTGAACCACAGCAATCCTCATAGGAGCGACATCTGCAGAGAAAGAAAGAGAAAAGGGCGTTAGGGGAGTGGTTGTCACTCAGATCAAAACAGCATCCCCAACTCTGACGCCGTTCACACCCCTGCCCGATGCGTTATTTACGACATCACCATGAGCCAGGCAGGCAAAGCCTCCTGGAAGCGTTCAAGGTAAGGTTGGACGGGGCTTTGAGCAACCTGATCTAGTGAAAGATGTCCCTGCCCGTGGCAGGAGGGTTGGATTAGATGATCTTTAAAAGACCTTTCCAACCCAAACCATTCTGTGGGTCTATGAATAAGCCCAGACTACCCTCAGCTGGATAAAGCTGTCAATCAGATGTACACATCCATGGCACAGCTCAGGAGGTTTTTGCATGTTATTGAAACTACCTTCCTATATACTTCTTTTAAAGCCACCTCAAAAAGACTGACCGTACTGTTTAAGCCTATATAAAATGACACGTTATAAAGAAAAGCAGTATTGCTGTTGTTTTCTTTCACAGTAAATGAACACTGCAGACCTCAAACATAAGCCATTGGAGGTTTTGTTCACTGCATCAAACAAGAATTGCAAGGTCAAAACTGCCAGATCACTCATTCTTTGCAAATCGGCAGCTTCCAAGCAGAGAGACCACTGAGTGCAGAGAAAACTTCAAGCGTACCATTATTTGCAAATTTAATGGCATTTTTTGCTTCTCAGAAGTTGCACTGGACTGCAACTGCCAACAACTCCCATTATTTAAGTAGGCTTTCCTCTAAAAAAACACCCCACATTTAAAATTAGTATTTCACATGGAATAGAACCGTTTTAAAGGTATTATAGCACCAACCACTGTAAACACAAGGTACCACTTCACTAAAAGCTAGCACATACGTTAACAGCTACCTCTGAACAATTTCTATGGTAACTGCCATTTCCCACACCAATCAAACATATTTAGTAGGAAAAAGGACAGAGGCGACACAGAAACTATCGTATGTGACAGACTCGTATGAAAACATTCAGATTAGCATAACCGCATACCAAAAGAAAAGAGGAGGTTACCACAACCGGATCAATCTTTTTAAGGGTGTTCACATCTGTATGCTCAATGCACAGATCTAATTAAGCATCTGGTTTTGGAAAATTTGCCCAACTGCATGACTGTGCTCCCATATTTGTACGCAAAGCTAAAAAAAAAAATCGATTGCATAATTGTACAGACAATTACACCTTTACATGCTCAATTAACAAGCCTTCACTCACAAAATACGTCAAGTCACATAGGCTTCAGCCTCTAATTGGGGCCAGAGGAGGATGCTCTATGGATACATAATCAGCTGTTTTGCAAGTGAAAACCATTACATGCTCTTCTGATGACAAGTAGGCAGGATTTATTTAAGCAAGCCAGAGGATCTGACATGATCAGCACAGCAAGGCCCATTAATATACTCAGGCACCCAGTCTGAGACTCAAGCAGACTAAGTTGCTTATGCCACAAGACGAAACACCCACTTTGCCATCCCTGAACCTGAAAGCATCCCAATCTCCAACCTTTCTTCTTTAAAGCTTGCCAGGACCCTAACAACTGCTCATACTCAAAGCTACCAGATCTCACAAAACTACTAACAAGACTTAGCAAGTCAGCATTAACTTGAGTCCCATCAGGACCAAGAAATTAAGCATCCCTCCATGCTCCCCAAGTGGATCAACCCAACAGGAGCTTTCAAGACATACGTTAAATGCACGGACAGGATCAGGCCCCTCATGAAACAGGGTGACAGCCGCTACCTTCTGTTAAAACAGTGGTCGCGATACCCCTTTTGTTCTTTAACACACTCGTGATTGGAGCACCTCATCCATGTTGATGGGCACAGCAAGGACTTTTTAAGGCTTGTCAGGCCAGAAAAGCAGAGCCATGGCCAGGAAACAGAGCCCGTAAATCTAGAAAGAAGGAGGTAGAGGTGGCAACTGAACATCGGTCTCTTCCTGTGCTAGCAAATGAAAAGGCTTCCCCCCCATCCCTGCTGCTCCACGTTTTAAAAGAAAAAGCCACACTCACATCCATGAAAGAAAGGGAATGAGTTCCCAACATCACTGTGGGACTGCTCTCTTGCAGCCTTTCTTGAGGCAATTAAGACCAAATTATAGAAGGATTTTAGGGATGTGAGCTGTCTTTATCTCTGCCTCCACACACTGGCTCTGTCAGCCCAGACACCTACACCTGACCACACGCGCGACGGGGAGCGGATACACCAGGCAGGCCTCTGGCCCCAAAGCCATTTCCCAGATCAAGCCCCAAGTGCTGAACTTGTATTAAAAGTTAACCTAAAACAGAGAGCCCAGGGAGGCTGCACGTACACCTCCCTTGTGCCCACCCTTGCCTCGCTTATTTTGCATCTGTTTTCTCCAGAGCTAGAAGAGATGGGAAAAGGCTATTTTAAAATATATAATTATGGTCGTTCAAACCACCACAATTAAAACAGCATCTGTCCAGTGAGCGTAGTACCTGAATTTACTTTTTATTTTTAATCTCCAAATTGTCTAGGCTGCAAGTCAGCACCATTTTTTAAGCCTCAGTGGCTCAGCTTTTCTTTCTGCAAAAAAGGACTAAAGTACCAGCTGGAAGACAGTAAGGCTCAACGGCCAAATGTTTATGAAGCTCCTGAGACCACCGAATGGCAAACAAACAGGCCATCAAAGAGAAGTTTCATCCCCTACACGGACGATTGCACTTTCAAATGGCTGAAAACGATGATGCAAAGGCTGGAGGAGTCTCTCACTACGGCTGTGTTTAGACAAGCTCCATTTTACAACAGCCAGTAAGCTTTCTGAGGCAACTCATCCAAGGCTAAGCACTGCATTTGCCAGGTGGATCCGTGAAGCTAAATCAGTATCATGACTTGAGGGGAAATCCCTTTGAGATCCAACACTAGCAACCCTTTCACTTTTTACCCATAAAACCAAATGGGCACTTGATTTTGCATGCCTGCAAGTACGGACCCAGGTACCTGTACGTAGGTGCCGAGAATCAAGGATGATACCATGATAACAACCTGCTGTTTGTATTCCCCAGCAGCACCAAAAAAGACTGGAAGAACAAACAGCCCATTTGCTGCTACTGCCGTCAGGGTACTGCAGAAGCTCTGCTGATCTCTTGTTCTGGATTCAATGAGCTACAAAAAAACAGTATCACTTCTGCCAACATTGATCCCAATTACAAGAAAATTAACTTACTTACAAAAGCCATATTTATTAGCAGGCAAAAGGCGACAATAAAATCAGCTCATTAATGGAGTAACACACAAGCTTAAGTATAATCAGTCTTTGATGTACCATCTCTTATTGCCTGACAGCAAATCCCAACAGAATTAAGACCCTGTTCAGAAAAAACAATTAAGCACACACACATGTATTTATTGAATGGCTATACATATCCTTTAAATAATACTTCTGCTTTGGCTCTGCTTAACAGCAAAGGACTGGTTGCGCCCAGTGCCAGTTGAAGAAGAACGAGCCTTACTATCGATCTGAACTGGACTGAGCCCATCTCCTACAGAAGACATTTCTAAAGCCAATTTTCCTCTTTCACACATCAACAATGACCCCGAGAACTGCATTCCCCTAGGGCAATGCTTGTTTTATAGATCAAAATTTAACCCATTATGTAGGATAAGACATGACCCATTAGTTACTTGGCTAATCTGCAACTTCACCAAGCATAGTGTCTCTCTTTTGAAAACTGTCTGCAATGTGATTTATGATTTAGAAGGTACATCTTTTCATTCATAATTCAGTAGAGTGAAATGAATGCATCTGCATGTCCAATGACTTGTACTGCTAGCCCACCAGGGAACTGCTGTGTCAGAGATCAAAGTTACACTGCGTGGCAGATCACAGAGACAAGCTTTTTGTATGGGATCATACTTAAATCATGACGCTGAACTTCTTTCCTTAATGGACAAGCAAAGCACAAAAAGTTTCACATAAGGGTATACGGTATGACCCAAGCCCCACAAACCAACCCTGTACTTGCATGCGTTCTGTGGATAGTAACTGCTCAATGAAATGGTCCAGCAGCTCTTTTCCATTTATACCTGCATCTACACAGCTGAACAAGTCCTTTCTTAGCAGAGCTGCCGCAGGAAAGAACTACATCTAAAAATAATTCCCTGATTGGCACTTGCTGAAAACTGGAGAAATTAAAGAGGTAAAGCAAGGATTACAGTTTTCAGCAGACTGTATAGCCACAGTGGTCTGACAACATTCCCTGTCCTCACCCAACATGGGTATTCCCCATCAACGCTATCCCTTTGAAATGCAGGCCGTACTGTTCTTAGGTTTCCTCTCTAGACTGTTTGCAGTGTGTGCCAAAACCTGCTTTAGGACGTTTAATTAGCAACGTCTTTTGGAAGAGTGAAACAAAATATAAATTGTTAATCCACATGTAGTGGCAGAAACCGTACTGCAGGGACAGGGACAGAGGACGGGAGGGTGAAAGAAAACAACAAAACCCCCACAACAACAAGACACAGTAAACTGCATGATTTCCAACCAGTGTCCTGTAGACAAGCATGACTTTGATTCCAAAAAAGGCTGCATGCCAGCGAGAGGTTAAATGACTGCTGCATGTAAGGTCTATCAAGCAAACCGGGATTCACTGGAATACGAGACGCACCAGCACTTTTTTAAATGGGGGGGAACAAAAGGGAGCCAGGAAGTCCAGTAAAGGAGGGTGTAGCAACAGATCAAAACTAAGAACAGAAGAGAAAGATTTTGGGGGGATGGCTAGTAGCATCAGATGAAGCTAAGGAAGCCCCAGCTGTGGTCCTAATACTGGCACAGGCAAACGAGCAGAAGGAGAACCACAAGTGCTCACAAGAACTCAAGGCATGGACTGCTGAAAACCAGATCACCTCCAAGCAGACTCAGTGCTGAGCCCTCAAAGCCAGAAGGCTCAGGTCTGCTACCACTGAACAGATGAAGGCAGACAGCTGAAGTGTGCATACGTATTTCTTTGTTCTAGGACAAAAAA